AATTTACGTAAGCAGAGATATAAAAAAAATAGAAGATAAGAATAGTACCAGTTATATACTTAAGGTGTTGCTGTTGCAAAAATAATTAAACTGAAATATAATATATAACATGTCATTACCATCGAATCGATGACGGAGTTAGTGAGTGAGTGAATCGTGAGTTACCTCTATTTTTAGGTTTTGAAAAACTAGCACCTTACAAGAATTGAGGATGCAACTTTTTTGCTATAGTTTCTTTCGAACGGTCCTTTCCTGTATTTCCGCCAAAGATTAGGGTCTCTAGAATCTATAAAGCGGAATTTTGCTAATAGCTCATTGTTGTTTGTTTTCGAAGAACTGCCTGCATTTTGATCTATTTCGTTTGTGTGATAAAATTCGGTTTTGCAGCTTAGGCTCCGAAACAAAAATAAGAACTCGGATCTGTAACCACTCAGAAAGAGGTTATTACTGGCAATCTTAAACAAACTGCCTAAGCTTATTGCCGTTTGTTGTAACTGTTCGCTGCATGCTTCTCCTACTAACCGCTAACTTTTCATAAATAATTTAAAGTCGGTGCATATAATAAAAATGCGTAAAGTAAACCATTTGGATTCCAGCCTGCGAATAGTTTTATTGCTAACCTGCGGCATATGCAGTTCGTAATTGATATTGTATTTGCGTAACATGTTGTATGGGGAGGGTTTCAAATTTCTATCCGCGCTAACTTTGCGCGCGCGCTGGGATTATCCTGTGTTATTTTGTGTAAAGAAATTTTGCAATCTCCTTTTTTTATCTTATTGTTTTATTGCTTTTTACGCGTTTAAAGCGCATTTAATTATAAAAGTATAAAAGTGTTCAAACTAATTGAATTATATTGAATTTTTTTTCGCGATGTCCATTTTGGTTTTTCCGAACAACCCTTCGCGCTCTCATTACTAAGTCTATTTTTTGTTTTCGTTTTGCGTGTCTTTGATAGTGTGAAGTTTGCGTCTCACTTGAGAGATTATTTTTGTGTACTTAACATACTTTTTCGGTTTTTTCTGTTTTCACAATCACTCTCTCGTCTGTTATTTTTTGACGTGGAGGATTTTTTTACATCATGTAAGGCAAACACGGGCCCTGATTCTGAATTGTTTATTGCTTGTTGGCTTTGCGGACGTTTTTGTCAGGCGAAATGTGAAGGTGTCAATCGCCATGCTGCAGATGCAGTCCTAAATTCTTCGAAAGGATTACATTAGTCATGTGCTGACTGTAGGAAGCGGAATATTGTCTTTTATAAGGCCTTCACGGCAACAAGGGGTATGTTTCCTGAATTAAGCGAAATTCTCGGCTTTGTTCGATGGGTGTTGTAACCTAGAGCACTCATCTTCTCCTTCAGCCTGTAAAAGGCCAACTTGTAGTGCAGCATATGGTACTTCATCCCCGTCTTCGCTTAAATCTGATTCGTCGACTCATGTGATTGCTCCATCCCTGCCTACACATAACGTTAGCTTTTCCCCCATCGTTGTGGCAGCCAGTAACAAAAACGTTACAAATAAGCTGGAAAACCCTCCTCATTTTAGCTATGCTGAAATGGCAAGGGTATCTCCTCCTAGTGCTGCCTTTCAGGCTACTCTATCTACATCTCCAAAGAATATTTAAAAAAATTAAAAATTCGCCTCTGCCTTTGGCTGCTCAGATGTGTCCGCTGCTCACCATGCTGGGCATGTCGCAGAAACTGCACGTGCTTGTGTGGTCATCGCCTCTATATTCTCGGCAAGTCCAAATTTTATGTCTACGAATCCTACCGTTCCTAATACGGACGACGTTTGCTTGACGGCAGTACTCTCCATAAAAGCGATATTCCAGTCGAGACATGACACACGTGCATATGACCTCTGAGCATAACATAAAATTTATCTGGTTGCAAAAGTCCCATCCGTCAGCTTGAAGCGTGTAAGCATTTTTAAATTGAATCCATTTCAACCTAGTGCTAGAACCATGGTAATTTTGCTAAAGAAACCATTGCGGACAGTTGGACTCGTAATTAAGAAATTCATTCCTCGCGATAGACCCTGTAATAAGTCGATAGCTCTTCCACTCTTGAAAAGTAAGTGTTTCTCCAGGCAACGTAACTTTCACTTACCAAAATGTTAGGGGCCTTAACTCAAAAATTCGCTCTATTCGCCCAAATACAGTAAGCACGGAGTTTTCCTGTTTGGCCTTCACTGAAACTTGCTTAAAGCCTGATTTACATACGTCGGAACTTTTGACAATTCGCTCTTGGCTTTCAGGATGGATTGATTAAATCACCAATAAACCTTTATACGGAACTTTCCCCTTTCTCCCACGTTCTTCAATGAACTATTTGATCGTAATTTAGTTCAATTCAACCGTACTACTAATTGTAATGGCTAGACTTCGAGATTTTCGCTTTGCCAATTTCGCAGATATAGTTGTAAGTCGACGTCTACCTTTTAGTTTACCTGGGCTTCGATATCATTGCTGATCCAGCAACTTGTATTTCCTTTTGTTACAGGGATGATGATCCGTAACCACACTAACCTTCCAAATCCAACTTTCTCCACTAAATATTATGATTTTAATAAAACTAATATTTTACTGTTGAAATCTCATCTTTCACACATTATGCTCCATTTTTCGGCTGGGAATACTGAAAGCCCACTATCACCGTTTTATAATGTATTAAATCTAGCTATTTCTGCATCCGTTGCGATCGAGCAACCTCACCCTCGAAGCAAGTGCCCGCCATAGTTTAACAAGAGAGTTAAATGTTGCAAAAATAGGAAAAACCAACTTTTCAAACAGTTTATTAAAAGTGGGTCTGGTTTCGACTATTTCGCCTATTCTGCCGCAAAACGTAAATTTGATTACCCCGACCACCAATGTTATTGCAGATACTGCTAGTTGAGAAAATCCTCACTGCTTATTAATTCTAAATATTTTTTTAAGTTTGTCAACTCCCAAAGAAAAAAATCTCCGCGGCTATGAGTTCTCGGGTGATATTGAAACCTAAAATCTGCTGATTATTTCCAAAGAAATTTTTCAACTGCTAAATCCAACTGTTAACTATCCGTATCTGATAACTAATTCGGTTTCGATTCCTAACTTGGTCATTTCAGGAAATGACGTTTTAGATGGTTTAAGATCTCGAAAATATAATTCTGTGCCTGGACTTGATGGGATTGCGTCATGTATATTTAAATCATAGTTCGTCGAGCTATTTGGTGCTATTTCAACGATCTTTAATCAGTCCTTATAATCAGATGTTTTCTCTCTGTGTTGGAAGAGAAATTTCCCTATTTCGCTTCACGAATGAAGTAGATATTACATTGGAAACTATAGAGGCATCGCCAAGTTGAGTGTCTTGCCTAAATTTTTTGACCGAATTGTTACTCAGCATTTAGGTTTTACTATCAAAATTCCCATCAAAATATACTTTCCATGTTTTTAAGGCTGTCACACGCATGTCCTATATGCTCATTTCAGTAAAGCGTTTGACTTAGTTATCCATAACTTATTGATCTTCAAACTCCCGGCATCCGGTTTCATTTTGTACTTAGTGAAACGGATAAGCTCTTATCAGATGATGTAGGGATCTGTTTAACTTTATCATTTCGGATGAATTTCCCGTGAAGTTTGGCAGCCACTTAGGATCACGTTTATATAATTTATATATTAATGATCTCCCCTCGGGGATTAAATCCAGCCAGACCCTAATCTACGCTGACGATGCTAAACTATTTTTTTCCTTCTCCTTGGAATCGCAAACGTACCAGCTTTAAATTGACTTAAATAATTTTATTACATGGTGCATGTTAAATTTTATGATATTAAATCTAAAAATGTGCACGAAGCTTTCTCAATACTGATTCACTTCATTGATTCAAGATGATCAAGTTGAAGAATGTAGATTCGTGCATTGATTTAGGGCTTCTATTCTGGCAAAGATTACGATTCAATTTGCACATTGAGCTCTCCTTAAGTAAAGGTAGGGCTATAGTGGCTTATATACTGGCTATATATGTGCTTAGGTAGACTAATACTTTGATATGACTCTGTGGTATGGTCTCCTTCCTATAGGTATTAGGTAAAGGTAGGTTCAATAGAATCCGTTCTAAAGCAACTTTTGCTGTTTTCCCTTACGAATTTAGGTTGGTTGCTTGTCCCTCTTCCTCCTTATGAAAACAGGTTCCTTCTGTTATCCTTACCATCACTTGAGAAACGTGGATTTATTCTTGGTATTTTCTTCTTAATTAAGTTAATTAATGGTACTATCGGCTCTTGGTGAGGTAAACTTTAATGTCCCTAACCGTTTCTCTGGACAGTTTATCTTCGTTAAGCTGAATCAATCTAATTATGAGCTTCATGCATGCTTTTTCCTTCTTTTTTTTATTTTTTTTTTTACTTCTCCCTATACACTTTATACTTATTTTCAATAATAATTTATTTTAGTTGAGTTCCTCGTGCATGTAAATAAGTAAATAAATAAACAAGAGAACGGCTTAACAACAGAACTTTTCATTTTATGCATTGCCGACGTAGAATAACAACATTTGTTAATCGACAATGATGCGTATGTAACGAGCATGTGTGCAGTTACAACCGCTCTGATTAGCTGTTTTGCGCCTCAAATTTATATTCAATATAGCTATCCAAAAACTTAAGCCTCTTGTTTACAAAAATAAGTTTTAGTAAATGTTATGTTGTTCGAACTATCTACAATCAAAACTGTCGAACAGATGTCAACTTTGGGTTTGTCATTGACAATCTGTTCAATGGATCGAGTTTCTAAACATTTGCGCACATCGTGTTGAGAAGGGAAAATAGAGCAAATGTCAGGACTACATATATAATAATTACTTTTATAAAAAATTGAATAAATTGGATATTAAATTCGCTTAAAGCGAAAACAATTTAACTTTCATTTAAAGCCATAATAAGAACGGCAATAGTAATTACAACAATCACAGCGTTTGGTATTTGAACTCATTTCTATATGTTTTTGAAATTAATTCCAGGAATAAATTGTTTTCAAAGATTCTCAGAACAACCCAAGTACACTGAAGTGAATCCAGGTCAGGACGCTTTATTAACATGCAAAGTAATCGATAAACGTGGCACGTGTTCATGGCAAAAAGACAATAAGGTAACAATTATTAGCTTTAAGTTAAAATAAACAACATAAAAAGAAAGTTCTAGTTCCATATACTCAAGCAAAGATCTATTCACCTTTCGTTAGTACGTGCACAAAAATTTACTTCGTTTTCTACAGATGAGGAGAGATAGAGAATTAAACTAATTTTCTGGCCATTTTCTGTTTTGCACTTGTTATTTATTTAGTTTTCAAAAGAAAAAACTGAAAGTACGAATAACAGTAACAACAATAATAGCATAGACTACGTTTTATACGTCCAACAACTAAAGAGAAATTTTCAACACGTTGGATTGGGGCTTTGCATTGGATTTGACGAGGTTAGACGGTGTTGTTTACCGTAGGTTGCCAGAGCGGGTGGATATAATTCAGTATACAAGTATATCTTTCGTTATAGTTTTTTATATGTGCTTACATATGCTGCCGTATGTAAGACATCTGTTTGTTTTGCATGTTTATAAACCTAATGTCTGATAGTTTTCTAAGAAAACATTTAAAATATATTCTCTGACTTTCTTTTCCTTCTTTCTTTCCTAAGTAAATAATATATTATTCTACGTAAGTATAAGTGCACACCATGCACTTACGTATGTATGGGAATAAGTATATTTAAATAAGCATTTACACTCACATGGATTCATTCAGTTTAACTAACTAACATTCAGTCTTATGTACTATGTATATTATGTATTACGTAGATACATACATATAAATATATTTATATATATATATACGTGTTTACATTTTAACCATATTTACATTTGTTTAGCTTTTGTTTTTTGAATGCTTTTCCTTCTTATAAACATATATTCATTTTTAGACAAACACACGTACACACATTCACATAGATTGACAAACATTAAATGACTTTTAATGCAAACAAGCAAACAAACGAAGACTTAAATGAAGGAATTGTTTTCCATACATTGTTGTTCCTGTTGTTGCTGTTTTTATTGTTGTTTTTGTTGCTGATATTATCCTTTAGGAAATTTATTGAAATTTATTTTCACAAAATTAATCCTAGATTATTGCTCAAAAAAGGCAGCCATAGATACAACAACTAAGAAAGAAGACAATACGAAATGAAGTAAACGAGAAAAGCTTGAAGGAAGGGAGTGAATGAGGAATAGTTAAAAAAATATGTAAATTGTTCGAAAATTTATTGAACGTCAAGAGCTTAAATAGTGATAATAAAAACATATCATAAAATTTAAATAAGGCGGAAGTATACAATTGAAAAATTTTAGACAACCTACACCGAAATTAAACTTTTCAGTAGTTACACCCTCAAAAGAAACGGCTACTGTTTTGCTTAACAAATAAAGCAGTTGTCACATCAATCCGTGTAATTGGTAACGTTCGACACCGTAAACTTTAAAAATAATCACTTGAAAAAGTGCTGAAACCCTGTTCCCAACGTTTCATTTGAAGCTTCCCAAATGTTGGAAAGAAAACTGTTAGAGAGACAGAAATATCTATAGATGAATAGACAGATAGAAAAACGTACGGAAGAACAGATTATAGGGCGGAACAATAGATATATAACCAACTCCATCCATATAAAGCAGAATAAATAAAAACCGTAGTTAGGGGTAGGGTGGGAGTGGGTAGTTGAAGAAGCACAGGAGATAGAAAGGAGGAAAGAATGGGCGGTCCTTAAAGTGGTTGAAGGAGAAGGATCTAATGACAAAATAGACTTGTCGGCTGACGGACGTGAAAATGAAATGAATGAAAGTAAAGGGACGAGGAAATGAATGACAGACGAACTATGCAACGAATAAAAATTAACAATATGTACATAATGTATATTATTAATATATATATAATAATATAACGTATATAAGTATAAAAATATTATATATAAAAAAAAGAAAATAAAAATTCAGGAAAACGAGTAGACGATATATGAAAAAGTTAATAGATTAGGGCAAGAACAGAGGCGTTCATTAATAAATAGAGTAGTCGGTAATTGGTCGCAAGGGTAAATGAGACAGAGAAAGGCAGGCTGGGCAGACAGACGGACTGATCAAGAGATGGCAGGTAGGTAAACAAGCGGATAATATGGTAAATATGGTCAATTCTATCCAGTGTGCTCACAATTCTTTTGACAATTGGAAGACTAAGAGGCAGTAGTTTTGGTTTTGAATTTTAAAATATTACGATATTAACTATCATTAACATTGCATCCGCTGAAAAATATATAGCATCTGTAAGTTTTTTTAGTAAAAAAAAAACGAAAGTAATTCGTAGACTCTTCGCATTGACGTCAAGTTATCTGTCTAACAGGCTCTTTTTTTGAATGCTGTCAACGAGTTTTTGGTTTCTAAGTTGTATTATATGTAGCAACTCGTTTACACAAAATATTTTTCGCTTACTACAACTATAACTGACATAACCCTTAAACAATCAGCGGGTATTTTGTTTACTACTTTCCTCAGCAAAGGAATTGTCTAGTGCAGTTTGTACTAAAGATCTTGACTTCAAACCGTTTTTAATTAAATTTCAAAACTGTCGTATAAGTATTGTACTTATTTGCGCATACACCCACACTGATCTTTTAAATATGCATAGTTATAAGTGGACGCCACAATTGCGATGCGCCTGCGAGCCTCTCTATTTAAACATTTTATATTCCCGAGTCTAAATTTTCAAAAATGCCCTGAGCCTAAATAATGTTGTTTGAACGCTATAAGAGCAATTAAAAAAAAAAGTAGTTTGAAAATGCTCATCTTTATGCAAACTGTCAAATAATGTAATTCTGTTTTATGAATGTCCCCTCATGTACATTTCAATTCACTTGTAATCATTCAAAAAGGGGAAAAACTACTTGGCCACAATATGACATTTTTGTAAAAACAAAATGAACAAAAAAGTTTAAAAAAAGAATTTTCATTACACGACCGCAGAAAAATAATGAAAATGTCATTTTTTTGTTTATTGCATTGGTTTGTAAAATGGACATCACCATCGTCAATGTTGTTCTGAATATTTGACAACACCAACTAACGATAAACGGAAAAAAACTTTTTTTATCGAAATTTGCATAAAAATTGTAGAGATTTAATTATAGACAAAATAGGTGTTGGTTGGGCAATCAAAAAATTACATATATACAAATATATGCAGAGAGAGAACATGATAATATGGGATTGGATTTTCAAAGTTTTTTCCAGTTTGCCGGTCTATTATATTGCTATTGTGCGCAGTTAACAATAGAGGATGTGCTCACATTAATTTATACCAATATACAAATTTTCGATTCAACTTTACAAATGCAGTGATTCGCATATAAATACAAATGCGTAATTTACTCAACAGGCCCTTAATAAAAATTGGGTTAGATACGAACATGCGCCCGCTTCGCAAGAAATCGTTTAGAGATATTTGCTAAGGTAAATAAACTTGAATGATTCAGTTATCTGTTAATCGTCATGAAAAAGTGGATAGGGTGGTTTCGACCATTATTAAGAATAAAAATTTAGGTTCGGGTGTATCTCGAATTTACTCACGAACACGTCCAAATCAGAAGTAGCTCAGATTAATTAAGTAACATCTGACATACAACTCCACTTTTTACTAACTGCGAAATTTCCTATAAGCCGATAAATTGAAGAAAAGTTAAGTACGACAACAGTCTTAATCCGAATGTATGTACACCTTCAACATCTAAAAGCATACTTATAAGAGTCCTGTCCGACTTAAAACAAATCCAACGCACCACTTAAGTTAAATGTGGAGCAGTTATTACGCAAAATTGTTGGATGAAACTTTGCATAATTATTTTGTAATATGTGTCCTTTTTTATTTTCTTTAATCTTTTCTACTCTCTTAAAGATTAGAAGCGTGATGGTCAGTGCATCATATAAACTCGGCATTTTACTCTTCAAGATTTTTGAAATTCTAAAAAAGAAAGGATAAAAGAATGAACGAATAAATATCGTTATGTGAGTTCGGAATACACCGCTGATCAATGAAAATCTTGCTTTGCAGAATTATTCTTCAAATGTGTATACCCCAACTTTCTATAATAATATGAAACCCTCTTGCTCTCATTTCTAATAGTGGATGTTTTATATATTGAAAAACTTTGAACAAGAGGTTATATAGAGTGGAAAACATTTCACAAATTGAATTTAAAATATCAAATCGACTAAGAATTTCAAAACATCGATTCATTATATCATAGTATAACGAGCACGATGATTCGCTCTAAACTGTGTATAGCGTCTTTACCTATGAACTTGCACTGATGTTGTGGTCAGTTTTCGTTAAACAAAAAAAAAAAAGAAAAAATTAACATGAACTCCTGTACGAATGAGATATGAGGCACATGCGAGTATAGCTGATCAAATATAACGAAATTTGATTAAAAATATGACAAGAAAAATAAAACATGTAAAAAAGACGACATATTGGCGTGAAGTTAGCTCACTGTGGGTAGCCCACATTTTCGTCTTTAGTAAAAGGTGGGCTATCTTCAAGCGTGGTTTACGTCTATGCTAAGGTAGTTGATAGTTGGACGATATTGAAAGAATAAAAAAATTATGACAAAAAATAAACGAAAATGGAGAATGCAAATATACTGCGAGGGGCTATTTTGCCCAAAACCTGTGGCTGGGGTAGCTCAGCCGCTCCAGGTTTTTGTTTCACAAGACATATCTTTGTTTTGTTCTTTGAACTAAATATCGTTGCAAGTAATTTATAAACGAGTTTTTTATTAGTATAAATTCGTTTTGATACTTTGTCTTATATTTTATAATTATTCGTAGTAACTTTTGGCATTTTTTTTTGCTTATTATAATTTTCTTTCTGAAGACGAGGTTTCTTTATTCTACTTAAAATATAAATTAATTTTCTTGATTAAAGGATCTATTACCACCGTCATGGTGACCGCACCAACCAGACCAACACGTCCAATCTTTCACTCCCCCTGCGACCAACTCAGTTCCTCTAACTCCCTCTAGTCCTGACAAACCTACTAAACTTCAGGTTAA